TTATATATATTAGTATTATGTTCTTAAATGCTGACAATGTACCAGACGGTACTTAAAAGCCATAAAGATGTGATATGTGCCTTCAGCACAATACTGCTGTACACGAGAGAAGTGTAGCAACTTGTATCCTATATTATATTAAATTGATTACTTTGATTTACTTTGATATTGTCCATCTAGACAACTTTATCTTTATTAATAAACTTCTTAAATTTTAATATATTTAGTTAGCCTACCAGTTGTAATCCTGAAGCACTATTGAATCTTACTATTAAATTCTAATAGATAATTGGACCAGGATACTGACTATATGTTACAAAAACCCAGTAACAGGCTGGATGCTAGAGGGGCAGTCCTTTCTAGTATTCACTGGAGATCTCTAAGCTTATTAGATATCGCGTTTTTTGTAACACTATGTGGTCACACTACGTGGTCACACTATGTAGTCACCTTTGCTATGTGGTCACCCTTGCTATGTGGTCACCCTTACTATATGGTCACCCTTACTATATGGTCACCCTTACTCTGTGGTCACCTTACTGTGTGGTCACCCTTACTATGTGGTCACATTGTGGTCACTTTATGTGGTCACATTGTGGTTACACTTCAACACTGGCTCTACTGACTCAGGAATATAAAGATCGTTCAATAATCTGTTACATGTCGAGGTATTTTGTTACCTGAAAATAAAATACCAGCCATTTTAAGTAAATATCTGGAATTTGCTGGTAAAAGACAACTGAAGATGTGAATGCAAATGTACTCCTGTTAAGCTTTCTGGGGCCTAGTTCCTGGGCCTTTGGTGCTCGTGCGCTACTCTCCACAGGTTGGACGTGGGGTGCACAATTACAAGCCTCAGCGGCAAAATCTAAATCTAATCAAATGGACTCTACAAAATAAAGGAAAATCCTCAAGGTTTATTGTAACTTAGAGAGAGACTTGGAATAATCTATTTACACTGGACGATGATTCTCCCAGAGGTATAAATTTTATCACGAGTTGTGCGAAATATCGTATCTAATTTATCCCATTTGTCGTCAGATTTCCTGTTATTTCATTAAGTATATATATTATACACAACTACAATAATAAGTCATGTCAGACTCTCCCTAGAACACAACACTAACAAATTATCTAGTGCTTTCTGAAGATTAAAAAGGTGAAGAAGGTTGTGATCAGACTTTTCTACGGCCCGAGAGGTGTGCACTACGACGGGAAACTAAAGTAAATGACCCTAACTGTTCTAGAAGAGGTTAAGGTCTAAAGGAGAAACTATTACTCCATACTAGATTCTAAGAGGCATGTTGAAATGACGGGCACGGATAGGGTTCCCGATTATTTGTGAAAAACCCCGTTTTACTTGTCTTCTTGTCTGCACGAAGAGGAATGGGTATAAAAACTAGCTTACCTGGCAGATATTTCTATCGGCTTTGAATGGTGTGAATTCAAGATTCCAGGGTGTCAGTGCCACGGTGTTCAGCACACAAGACGAGGTCGAAGTTACGATTAAAAACACAGATATTCTGCTCATGCTGTGGGAATGCGAATTCTCCGCATTGTTTTCCAGCTCTACAAGAGCTCGTCGAAGCAAATGAAATTGTCATAGATGAGTATGTGAAAGGCCACTGAATACCTCAAGCAAGTGAATCAGCAGCTGTGGAGATATTCATCCCCTGACTCCCAGGAACACGTCTCAGGCCTGGGGACGCAATCTATGTAAAGCCTTCCTCCCTGTTCCACATACCTGTTATTTTACCAACAAGAGCAACTAATGCAGTTAACGTCTGATGGGGGACTTCGGATACAGTTCAAACAAAGCCACTCGTGGATTTCTGGGCACAAGGCATGGAGGCGTCTCCGGACTTACACAAAAGCAAACCTTAAGGGTACTGATGCTCTGCCACGATGTACCCATGAAAGGTGGGTTCCTCTGCGCTCACAACAATGAAGGCAAAATATCGCATGAGATTGAATGTTGAGAAATATCTGTGAAACTATCCTCACTTGCTCCCAACTTCCCTGACTTTTGTGCTGAATTACTGGCCCATCCATCGTATTGACACGGAAGCTGCAACACGTAAATAATATTTTCTTAAACTCACATAATCCGTCCTAATTTTTTGCATTACCGAAAGTGATTACCCATTAGTGCAGGTATACACACACTTGAAATTAATGAGGAAAATAAATGTACGTCATGATGTGTACCTCTGTAAATCCATTAGCTGGAGTGACAAAGGTGACGGGGGTACGCGGTTTCGCTAAGAGTTTGGAAGGGTGTACGCAGCATTCCAAATGTGAAGACCAGGAACGATGAGATGGTAGAAGCTAAAATCACATGTGAGTCACAGGAATGTTAAGCACTTTCACAATTTCATTAGGGTAGAAAAGATTTGGATGAGGAAGTGTTTGTGTACACTGTGATTTTATGCGTAAGTGTGATAGTGTTCAGTGGCCAGTAGTCAGTTGACGAAGATCAAGAAGCGAGGCCAGGAGCCAAGACGCTACCCACGCTAACACAAGTCTTATAACACGGCGCACGCACGCACACACACACACACACACACACACACACACACACACACACACACACACACACACACACATACACACACACACACACACACACACACACGTGTCAACCGTATCATAAAGCTACTATATCTGTCCCATCGCCCTCCCGTTGCAAAATTATGAAAAGAAAAAACACTTGCGACATCTTACTAGTTGCGGGGCAGATATCGACAGGGAGGAGCGACGTGGCTGGCTGGAACACAGGCCCATATCTCTCCCTGCCACACGCCACCACACGTCAACCTAATATTGTTGGCCTTCTCCCTTCTCCCAGCATTTACCACCTAACTCCCCTGCCTCTAGTTTCCATCCTCCGCCACACTCGCAGAGATTTTTACACTTCCCAAGTCTTGGCTAAAATATAACCACCGAAAATAGTAAAATAAAAAGAAATATGTTAAATGTGTGTGGGACGGGGTAGGGGGAAGGGTCAGGGGGCCTCAAAGGTGGTTATGATAAGCGCCTCCACAACACTCGTAGTGTAAAACTTATCACACACAACAAAGGCCTTCCAAGGCCCCCCCCCCATCCCTTCCCTACCTCCAGCTGCCTCCACTCCCCATTTCCCTCCACCTTTACTCCTCCTCCTTCATTATAACCTCCCAGATGTGATTTTTATCAATGAATCAACAATATTGATTCAGTGGCTGAAACAATGGTTGGGTGGGTCGTAGTACGACACGCGACGATACGATAGTTACCCTCCCAGTGTACCATGCTTCATTACTATACTCAGGCCTGCAGCGGATGGAATTTTTAATTACAGTAGTATTTTTTCCTGGCCTGGAATGTGATGCGAGGTAATGGCGCAGGAATGCTCTAAATTACAGAGTTTGGTGTAACTTGTGTATGAGGGAATTCGAGCCAGTTTCTATCGTAAATAACACGTTGATTTCTTTACGCTTAACCTTGGGTAAACTTACCCGCTAAATTAATTCCATAATAGAATACTACAAGGTGAGTTAATTATTGATTTGGTTTATTACAAGAATATTTACCGATATATAATTAAATTTTATCGTGTGCGTTAAGAAATTATCTGACCACTTGACGGAAAGTGTCAGTGTCGTGTATACTGAGAATGTGTAGCTGCCTCATGACACTTCCTACGCAGACTAGTACATAAGTTTGCCTCCCTGTATACTAAGGATGACTGTGTGCAGCAGCCTTGCAATATTTATACACCATACACTTTGCCTCCCTGAATCCTAAGATGTATGTGTGTGTGTGTGTGTGTGTGTGTATTTTTCACTTATTACACCATCTAGTTCTAAAGCCCCCCCCCCCTCTCTCTCTCTCTCTCTCTCTCTCTCTCTCTCTCTCTGTTTCCTGACTAACAAACCACTACCACCATCTAAAACACAATAGTTTCTCTGTCTCTGCAACTCGAAAATCCTCTCCAATTCCCCAAACGAAAAGTTCAAATCTTTTACTTCAGCCATAAAGACCCTTTCCCACTTCAACGCAAAAGTCACTTTCCAGGAACGCAAAAGTATCTCCCGTGAAGTGTAAAAGTCCCTGTAGCTTCCAGAGAAAAAAAAATCCCTTCGACCCTGTTACTGAAAAGTCACTCTCCCTTCCATTAGAAAATTCTCTCGTACCCGTGACAGAAAACCTTTCATCCGACGTATGTAAAACAACAGCCCCACCTCCTTATGCTCATACAAAAAGGCTTCCCTCTTTGACTTAAAAAGTCTCGTATAGGAGACAGTTTTAATCCTTAAAGGAAATTAATATTTAAACAAATGATTTAAAGAGAGTAACTAGAAGGCTTCACCTCTCCGTGTGTTACACACTCGTTATTCTGCTTTCATCTAGGATAAACTAAAAACGTGATAAAACATACACATGCGATTATCAACAATAAAGGATATACACACCATTATGTGCATATATCTTTGATAATGTGAGAAATCACGAAAGCCCTTGGAAGTTCACTATTTTATCACAGTGGTTGTTTTACGTATTGATATCACCTGTTTACTGTGATCTTATTGCACGTCATTAGGTATGTATTTCTTAGTGTATATGCAATGAGAGATTACCTTAATCCATATTTTCGGGACTAAAGTATTCTTGACTGATGATGAACAGGTTGTTTGCAGCCTTAATAACCTCTCGTATAGTCGATAGGTCTTCAACCACATCAACCAATCCAATGCAATATTTTTATTTATCATAAGGTATGTATTGCCTAACCCGTAACCTACACTCTTGGTGCTACGACAGTCTCAAGACTAAACTCTAATCTCTTCCTGTAACAGACCATTAACCTTCTTAATGTACTTACCTTAACCTGCACTAACCTTTAAATATATGTTGCAATTTTCCCTAACTGTACAGCAAAATAAATAGCCTTTCTCATATTTTATCGATCAAAAAATATATAGTACGAAACATTCACGAAAAGTTGAATTGTTACTCACCGGTTCTTCTATGGCGTGGGGATGGATGGTGTTGCTAAGGATGATGTCTTCGTGTCTCGCCGCGCCCATCAAGACGGCGCCCGCCCGGTCCACACTAGCGTAGCTTCTGTCGTAAAGACCCACCTGACCGCTCTGCAACACCCACGCCCGCGGTGATGATGTTAGTCAGGGGATGTGTGGCGCCAGAGGTGAGGAGGTATGTACACATACACACACACACATACACAAACACAAACACACACACATACACAAACACAAACACATTCACACTTGCATTATTTGTTTCTCTGACTTCCACTCTCTCTCTTTACAAATGCTATTTTTTTCCCCTGAGCTTATATTACTTTTCATCCTCAGAAATGCAATTATTCTTCGATTTTCTAGTACTAAATATTTTCTTTCCATTTGCATTAAAATTTTTAAGCAATTTTGCATATTTTTTTGTATTAACTAGCAAAAATTTCTCTGAACCAGGCACCAATTTCTCCGCACTTTTACTCATAATTAAACTACACCTCATTCAGATTTAAACCCTCTCTTATTACCATCATTAACTTAGGCTCTAACAACAAACCTTACTTTTAAGTTTATTTTAGTAAGGGAGGTTAAACTTGGTGTTGACGCTGCTATCAAAGGAGTGTCCCGTTATCTCTTCGCTAGAATAAATCAGGATTTTATTTCCAGAGTGTAAGGGTAATTTGTAATAGGGAAACAGCACACTGCGAGTGTACCAATTTTGGACCTGGTTAGCATGAGCCTACTGGAGTGTTCCTCTGTTTTTTGCTCTCATGTAAATAATTTAGTTTTAATAACAAGATCTCTTCACAGTGTGTGTGTGTGTGTGTGTGTGTGTGTGTGTGTGTGTGTGTGTGTGTGTGTGTGTGTCTTGAAGCCCTTAACTCAGTCTTCGTTTAGGTATCATATAATCCTTCAATAAATATTGACCAATTATTTGAGTTCAATATAATAATAGCATACAATACCGACGGTATTGTATGCCTGTGTTTAGCCCCTGGTGACCCATCGTGTGACCTTAGTAACTCACCCTCCAGCATTTAGTCTTGCCTGGTGTAGGCAGCGTCAAGATCAAGAACCTTCCCTCAGTGCTATAGGACGGAGCCTATGGCGGGTCCTTACACTACTTACGACGTGGAGCGGGTCATCCCTCCGCTGCACCTCGTGTCTGTTTTGAAGCGTCGCTGACGTGTAGGTGGTGTAGTTGGCTGGCAAGGAGTGCAGCTGGTAGGGGTCGGCAGCTGGGTGGTGTGTCTGAAACAGACACAGACATATTCACTTAGATGATGCTAGACAGAAAGAGATTTCTTGAATATCACCATTAATACACCACAAACCCAACATCATTTAAATATTCTCAGCAAGTTTGGAGTTTCTTACGTCATGTTATTTTTACTTCTAGAAGCTGGTAGGTAATTTCTGAGGCATTGACACGGCATTTTTGCCTCAAAATGTGGCCCAGGACAGTTGACTAAACACCTTATCAGATATTGGTTTCCAAGTATCGGGGCCTCCCATCTCTCACATACCATTGTTCTCGTTACTTCCCCCTCTCTTCCGCATTTAATAATTTTCGCAAATGATAACAGTAAAATCTATGTAACATTTACCTGTTTTTTTTTTTCAACGATAAAGTAAAGGGTTAGTGAAAATGGTAAAAGAAAGTTAAAGAATGTAATTAATATGACTCACGAAACCGTAATGACACGATTGCAAACAAACCATACCACGGGTGGGGTTAGAACTCGCAATCAGAGTCACAAAACACCAGACCGTCGTGTTAGCTAACGCTAATGCAACGGTCTGGAGTTTTGTGACTCTGATCGCGGGTTCTAACCCCACCCGTGATATGGTTTAATGTAAATGATGATAAACTTAATTACACTTTTGCGACTAGTAACCGGTTACATTTGATGATGTGAAGTGCTAATTGCATTCAGCGAAAAAAAATTGATTAGAGAAATCATTACTAAAACAGTGAGATGTTCCTCTTGTATTATCAATTGAGAATGATGCTGTCTTGATGACATCAGAATCAAAGATCCCTTCTCACATTTGCATGACGCACAAGAAGAAAGAGTGCTCAAGGTCATGTCAGACAATTCTCGTAGAGTGTTATATACAGACTGTTATATATGTCAGATTATCACTTGCAACCAAAACTTAGATAAATATCGAAAACATTATCAAGCATTCATCTAAGTAACTCTTGCTTCATACAGGATGGGCGTTGTCGAAGACATTACAGTTCGTTGATTTCTGCCGATCTAAACTATAAAAATAATTGTTATTCTAGATCAGATTAACTTAGGTTAACTTAACTTATAGTTGTGTATGGGTAACAACCAATAATGAAGTAACATATGCCTGGCAGAGTAAGACATTGTGGTCCCTAAGAGTGTTGGTATCCCAACGATCCAAGTTTAGGGAACACTTGCTGCATTTCAGCCGCCTCGGTATCAACAGGCAACACCAAACTTCATTCTCTTCATGCAGATAATGTTGCATAATAGAAACAATGCCTCTGATGCGACAAGTGTTTTATGAAGGAATGTCTTTACACTTGAAGCCCTACTAACTTTCTCAAGGAGAAGTCAGTTGTTTGATCAACACATGGAGGATGTATTGTTTCTAGACGGCTAGGTAGCCACCTACTCGCACCTCAAACACTCACACATGAACACTGAGGTCTCTCCACTCAACAAACATTAGTACACGTTAATCCAAACAACAGATATTTCTTAGAATTTTCTCCAGATATTTTAATCAAGAAGAGGCCAGACCACCTGCTGCAAATGTTACCCCTCCTCCTCCTCTTCTTCCTAATCCTCCTCCTCCTTCTCCTCTTCCTCTTCCTCTTCCTCTGAGAACAGTTATGTAGACGCTTCTATTTTTATTCTTGTATTGATGGGCTCGACCTCTTGTGCATATTGTTTAGTCCCATAGCCTCGTAGTAGATAAAATGGCTTCCAGGAAAAACTATTTTGATTTATTCCTGAAGCCTTTTCAATATCCTCATATTTATATAATTTTCGATCTAATGCTATGCAAAATACAATAGCAAATGAAAAGTTTGGAGACGAAGGTGATACTCTGGGGCTCACAAAATGACACTCTTCTCTAGCTATTATCAGGGGTCTTTTCCTCCTGGGGAGGACAAGAACCCATAATTTGAAAACCAATACCAAACTGTACTCAGTGAAGCGTACGGAGAAGTTTTAGTGAAAGGTCGAGGAAGAAAAGGGTTGAAGGCGGCTGAAGGGAAGGAGTGAAGGAGAAAGGAGAAGATTCAGCATAATAAAATATACAAGGATGAATAATTAGGAGGAGGCAACGTGCTGGAGCAGGACTAGATGGGAAGGATGAGCCAAGCGAACGGTGATTGTAAACAGTAAGGCAACGAGCATCCTAAGTCAGGTATGCGGGGGAGGGATGGTTAGCGGAGAGGCATGGATATTAAACTGAGCAGTGAGGATGGTGAATGGGACAACGGGAACAGTATACAGGGTGAGGAATGATGATAAACAGAGCGAGGGAGGACAGTGAACTGGCTGTGGTTCGTACCCTGGACTGGGTGCTGCCAACAGTATCAGCCTGGTTGATGAGGCCTTGATCGACCAGGTTGGTCATAGACAAGGCCTGTGACCCAAGCAAAGTGACCTTTCTGGTCAAGCATGTTGCTGCCCTCTACACCAGTGGTGGTGGTGGTCAAACATGTTGCTGCCCACTACACCAGTGGTGGTGGTCAGGCATGTTGCTACCCACTACACCAGTGGTGGTGGTCAGGCATGTTGCTGCTCACTACACCAGTGGTAGTGGTCAAGCAGGCTGCTGTCCACTACACCAGTGGTGGTGGTCAGGCATGCTGCTGCCCACTACACCAGTAGTGGTGGTCAGGCATGCTGCTGCCCACTACACCAGTGGCGGTGGTCAGGCATGCTGCTGCCCACTACACCAGTGGCGGTGGTCAGGCATGCTGCTGCCCACTACACCAGTGGTGGTGATCAAGCATGTTGCTGCCCACTACACCAGTGGCGGTGGTCAGGCGTGTTGCTGCCCACTACACCAGTGGTGGTGGTAAGGCGTGTTGCTGCCCACTACACCAGTGGTGGTGGTGGTCAGGCATGTTGCTGCCCACTACACCAGTGGTGGTGGTCAAGCATGTTGCTGCCCACTACACCAGTGGTGATGGTTAGGCATGTTGCTACCCAATACACCAGTGGTGGTGGTCAGGCATGTTGCTGCCCACTACACCAGTGGTGGTGGTGGTCAGGCATGTTGCTGCCCACTACACCAGTGTTGGTGGACAGGCATGTTGCTGCCCACTACACCAGTGGTGGTGATCAAGCATGTTGCTGCCCCCACTACACCAGTGGTGGTGGTCAAGCATGTTGCTGCCCACTACACCAGTGGTGATGGTTAGGCATGTTGCTACCCACTACACCAGTGGTGGTGGTCAGGCATGTTGCTGCCCACTACACCAGTGGTGGTGGTCAGGCATGTTGCTGCCCACTACACCAGTGGTGGTGATCAAGCATGTTGCTGCCCCCACTACACCAGTGGTGGTGGTCAAGCATGTTGCTGCTCACTACACCAGTGGTGGTGGTGGTCAGGTATGTTGCTGTCCACTAACTACTGGTACAAAGGAAACGGATTCCTGAAATCACAGGGTATTTACACCCTGATGTGTATATCTCAGTGTATATACACCCATAGGTGTGTATATATCAGTATATATATGCATAGAGCTTACTTTCTCATTTTAGCTATAGAAGTAATGTTGGTGTGTGTTGAACAGGCTACATACATCGTTTGCAATTGCAACAGAAAATACGTAGAACCACATCATCCCCTTTCCCTTGTGGTTGCTGTGCAGATACAGCCATGTGAATACATGGTGCCTTGGCATATGACTGTGACGTGATTTTGGCACGTGACTGGATCGCTTCATAACCTCGACGAATCCAGTAAAAGTTTCTGACTGTATACTCGGTGTGTAGTTGATAATAAGTCTGCTCTAACAGGACGGCTGTTCGATCCCACAAAAATGAGATTACACCCTCTAAAGCATATTTAACCTCCTCTCTGAGGATGAGGGTCCCCAGTCCAGTTCTTGAGATGATTATATATATATATATATATATATATATATATATATATATATATATATATATATATATATATATATATTTAACAAGTCGGCCGTCTCCCACCGAGGCAGGGTGACCCAAAAAGAAAGAAAATCCCCAAAAAGAAAATACTTTAATCATTCAACTCTTTCACCTCACTCCCACATAATCACTGGTTTTGCAGAGGTGCTCAGAACACAACAGCTTAGAAGCATACATGTATAAAGATACACAACATATCCCTCCAAACTGCCAATATCCCAAACCCCTCCTTTAAAGTGCAGGCATTGTAATTCCCATTTCCAGAACTCAAGTCCGACTATATAAAAATAACCGGTTTCCCTGAATCCCTTCACTAAATATTACCCTGCTCACACTCCAACAGATCGTCAGGTCCCAAATACCATTCGTCTCCATTCACTCCTATCGAACACGCTCAAGCACGCCTGCTGGAAGTCCAAGCCCCTCGCCCACAAAACCTCCCTTACTCCTTTCCTTCCAACTTTTTCGAGGACGACCCCTACCCCGCCTTCCTTCCCCTACAGATTTAAATGCTCTCCATGTCATTCTACTTTGATCCATTCTTTCTAAATGACCAAACCACCTCAACAACCCCTCTTCAGCACTCTGACTAATACTTTTATTAACTCCACACCTTCTCCTAATTTCCACACTCCGAATTTTCTGCATAATATTTACACCACACATTGCCCTTAGACAGGACATCTCCACTGCCTCCAACCGCCTCCTCGCTACTGCATTCACAACCCAAGCTTCACACCCATATAAGAGTGCTGGTACTACTATACTTTCATACATTCCCTTCTTTGCCTCCATAGATAATGCTTTTTCTCTCCACATATACCTCAATGCACCACTCACCTTTTTTCCCTCATCAATTCTATGATTAACCTCATCCTTCATAAATCCATCCGCCGACACGTCAACTCCCAAGTATTTGAAAACATTCACTTCTTCCATACTCCTCCTCCCCAATTTGATATCCAATTTTTCTTTATCTAAATCATTTGATACCCTCATCACCTTACTCTTTTCTATGTTCGCTTTCAAATTTCTACATTTACACACACTCCCAAACTCATCCACTAAACCTTTGCAATTTTT